GCTAATTTTACTTTAGATTTCTAAATCTTTGTAAGAAAAGATTACTGCTTTCTGTTGGAAGCTTTTAGCAGGTTGTTTTTTTTTTTTTTTTTTTTGGCGGAACCAGGGATTGAACTCAGGCCCTTGTGCTTGCCAGGCAAGTGCTTGTTCTACTGAGCCATCTCCCTGGCCCTGCTTTTAGCAGGTATTACTAGAATAATTTTATTGGAGAATAGTTTTTTTAATAGGTGAGAGGCCAGTTTTTTCAGTTAGGATTATCATTTTAAATACTAAAGCTATGTTTATACTTAGTTTTTCTTGTTTGTCGTTTTTTTAAAGTAGCAGTTGACTTTTTGTTGAGTTGTCTGGAAAAATAATTTTTCAGACTCATTTTAAAATTAAAGTTTTTTACTCTTATTTAGAATAGGGTAGCTTTGTAGACTAAAAGTGATGACAATACTCAAACCTATCTTAGTATTTAAGCTTTTGACACCTGCTGGGGTTTCCCTTTTGCTGGGCGACATGCCTGTGAATTTTGGTAACAAAGACCTTAGAACCTGAATAAATTTATTCTATAAAGTGGGAAGAAGCTGTTCTTTAAGACTACAAACCTACCACAGTATTTTTACTGAGCAAATAATGTAAGTGAATTTCACAAATTCTCTTACCAAAAGGTAACACCTACAGAGTCCATATTCTACCTAGAGAAAGAACATATGTATACAAGTATGATTACTAAGACTTGGGCAGGGCTAAAATGCTACTGAAATCTAAGAGAATATTAATAATAAATGGATATTTTTCTGATATAAGTTAAAATTTTCAGAATTTATGTTAAATTTTAGTGTAATAGTTGGCATTTTCCTGCACCCCCCAAGTTTGTCAAAATTAGGGGTGTGAATCGCCTTTGTGTATTGTGTAACATCACTAACAGCACTCCTCAGCACAGAGCTGGAGATGACCTGGCCAGTGTCCTGCTAACCTCTCACTGTGTTTGTTGTTGGGATTCTGAGAGAAGGAAGCCGTGGCGATACCAGTTTAATGCACCAGCAGCTGGAGGCCTTGAGATGTGGTGAGCGCCACAGAGCGCAGCACCTGTCCACTCTTCAGTTCTGTGTGTGCTTGGCCAGACTGGCTCACTTTCTGCTGTGATTTTCCTGTCTATAAAATGGATATACTGGGCTGGCCAAATAGCTCAGCGGGGGTTCGATCCCCGGGCCTGCCATGCCAGCCCTGCTCCTGGAGTGCACTGAGATGGCAGTTGAGACTGGGCATGGTGGCATGTGCGCCTGTAATCCCAGCTCTTGGGAGGCTGTAAACAGGTGGATCACTATGAATTCAATCTAGTAGTGATACCCTGAACACCCTGTAGACCTTTCCCTAAAAAAAAATAAATAAATAAAATATGTATACTATAAAGACTTCATAAATTGTTAGAAGGATTAGTGAGACTTTGTGAAATATATCTGGCACCTAAGCATTCAATACATGATGATTATTGGCTTTTGATTTTTTTGTTTATGCTCAGATTTCTAACTCTGAAGGAAGACTGAAATACACCATATTGTCTTTATAATTTCTAATGAAGTACTATGAAAATCTAGATCTTTCAGAGCTCAGTTTTCACTTACCTCTCTCTCCTCTAAGAGTATGTGTTTTGTAGCCTTCTAGCCACTCATTTGCCTTGGTCAGTTAGCTCAGACAGCTAGTGTGAGGTGGTTTTGTGATCTACATATATGACAGTGCCGAGGAAGACACAGAACATAGTTCTGTTCCTATTTAGATTAGGAAGGTGTTAACTCTATTAAAAGAGTTATAGGGAAAATGTTGTGGTGCTATGGAAAGTTCCATGATTGATGTGGTCTTTGCTTGAAAATCATGTGAAAAGCTTGTGCGATTATCTGTATATTTGTTCTGTCCTTAATCCTCTAATATTTGGTAACTGAAATCATACTTGTAATCTTGGTTTATATGCTTAGTTTTGAATGCTTTCTTCGTCTCGTATGCACAGTAGTTATTTTAAAAGCTGGTGCATTTGGTGTGTATACTAAAACTTGGAAAGTAGGCATCTTTGTTTTCTCATTCAAGCTCTAAACATTGCTTTTTTTTTTTTTTTTTTTGCTAATGTACATACTTTCCCATTTAAATAATTTTACAGTAACCAGAATTTAAATGCAGTGCAAAATACCAATGAAAGTAAAAAATAATCTTTTAATAATGGATGAACTGAAATCATTCTTTCTAAAAATGATTAGGACCTTCGGGAGAAAAACTGGGAAGCAATGGAAGCATTGGCATCAACTGAAAAAATGCTGCAGGACAAAGTGAACAAGACTTCCAAGGTTGTAACGTTAACTTCTAGAAGCAGTCCACTGACAGAGAGTCTGCAGCTTATCTCAAAATCAGACCAAAGCATTGAATTTTACTGCAATTTAAATATAAAATCTCCTGTCATCCCCATTTATCATCACTCTCTTCTTTGCTTTTCTCATCTACGCCTAGAGGTTTTAATCTTGCGCATGTTGATTTGTTGGGGTGACTCCCTTCATTGTTGGAGCTTTGGTGAGCACTGCTTGACATGCAGGCCTCCTCAGAGAGGTGTGTCTGGGGCTGATTAAGAGAACTTCAGAACCCCCAAACCAAAAAAATCAAAACTGTATTGACAAACTCATGTTCTTGCCTAGCATGCATCTACACTGCGTAATGGAGTCAGGTTTTTGGAGGCACATGAAGAAAACTCAGACAAGGTGTGAAAATGACGGAAGTCCTAGCAGGTTAGCTTTGAACGTGTTGATGGAGATGGTCTCTTGGGAGAGGAAGATTTAACCACAGCACTTAGTCCTGAAACATGTAGCCTTCTCTGTTTTCAAAACAACAAAGGGGAGGTAGCTCAGTAGAATAAGCGCTTGCCTGGCAAGCACAGGGTCCTGAGTTCAATCCCCAGCACCACAAAAAAGAAAAACAAACAAACAAACAACAACAAAGGGGGCTGGCAAAATAGCCCAGCTGGCTAAGCACCTGCTTAGGCAAGTGCAGGAACTGGGTTCATTCCCCCATACTGCGTGCCAGGCCGGCCCAGCCCGCAGGCACCTGAGCTGAGCTGGCCACTGAGACATGCCTGTAATCCCAGCACTGGGGAGGCTGAAAACAGGAAGATCAGTACACAACCGAGCTGCATAGTAAGACCCTCTACCAAATACATCGATAGAATAAAATTAAAAAACAAAAGACATTCTCCTTGAGCTTTAAAGTTATCCATTGAAATATGAAGATTTCTAATAATTATGGAGAGGTGCTTTTAAAAGATTGAGATAGTTGAAACTGTAGAATAGGAGTATTGAATCTTGTATATGAATTAGTGGAAACCCATAATGATTATGCTTAGCATTCTAAAAGTTTTTTGTTTTTAGGTAATCTTGAGCTTTAAATACGGGTGTTGGGAAATATTTCAAGGACTTCTCTTAGCAGAATATATTTTTATACAAAATGTTGCATTGCCTTTGTAGTTATATTTTATTTATTGCAGTGGATGTATATCTATTCATCTGGCTATAATTTCCACTAATTCTTAAGTTTGAGATATGTGTCAGTATTAGGGTCAGAAAGGTTATAGGCCAGAGAAGAAAAATTGAGGCCAGGTAAGACATTGTTTCATGTGAGTAGTTGCTGATTTTCCAAGCATTTCTGTCAGCAAAGAGAACCTGAACTCTGCTCTGCCCCCTCTGCTAGAGCTACACTTGTGCTTTTTATTTTGTTAGTGGGACTGGATATCTGAGAAGTGCCGATGGTGCCATCCCCATAGAAGTTACTGTATTGGCCAGGGGCATATTACGATTACTAAGGAAAGCTGGAGTTTATGAGCATGTTGGCTTCTTGCATAGCCAATCCATAGAGAGAATTTACTGTCTTCTTTTTCAACAGAATTTAGATGTCTTTAGGTAACATCAGTGTGAAATGGTGTTGGTTACTTCAGTGCTACAAGTGGTACTGTAAAAGCAGCAGTGTAAAATGTCTTCAGGGTTTTAGGTGCCAGAAGTAAGTGAGAATAGCTAAAATGTAACAGAATTATAGTTGTACCTGTCTGGCATTACTTTAAGAGTAATATTCTTGAGGAGTCACTATCAATGACAGGTCTACATGAAAGATAATTTCTATATATTTCACCTAAAGATGATAATGAAATTATAAATGCAGTCTCCAACATTAGATTTTTTTCCTGGTGTCAGACTGGAGTGGATATTGCTATCTACAAGCTACCTATTACGTCAAAAAATTTATAGTTAAGGTTGTTAATATACAATAAGAGTAACTTTTCATGTTTGTGGCTCTGGATTACAAATTACATGCTGATTTGCTTTAGTTAGATTCATTTTCCTTCAGAAATTTTTCAAAAAGTTTCTGCTCGTGAAGGGTGTAGTGGCCTCTTGGGAGGCTAAGGCAGAAGGATGGCAGGTTCGAGCCCATCCTGTGCAGATTAGTGAGACTGTCTCTAGACAAGTACTGAGGATGTAGGTCAGTGTAAGGCTATGGGTTCAATCCCAGTACCACCCCCAAACACCACCATCATAAAAAAGAAAACTTTTCTTCTGGTGTTTTCTCTTCATTGATTTTCTTTTCTTTTTTTCTTTCTTTCTTTCTTT